ACAGCCCCCTAGGTCTTAAAGGTATATGTCTCCAATGCTGGCTGTATCCCTGAACACACAGAGATCTATGGGATTAAAGGCGTGCGCCACCACCGCCACACTCTGGCTATGGCTCTAATAGCTCTGACCCCCGGGCAACTTTATTTATTAACATACAATCAAAATCACATTTCAGTACAATTAGAATACCACCACACATGTATCTCTTGGATGAAGCCTCCTTGATCATGGATAATTTTTTCTTGGAGTCTGTTTGCTCTACTGTCTACACAGGGCCTTGACTTTAACTGCCTCCATCTTCTGGCTCAATTCCCTGTGTCCTTGAATTTCTTCATTTCTTCTGTCCTGTAACCAGGTCCAGACAACTTCTTCAACCCCCTTATGTGGCCACAGAGAATCCAGCCTTAGCCTTTCCTCCTACATGATGCTGGCCATTTTTCCATGAACTACAAGCCTTGTTATGCTGGGGATCCCTTAACACCCTTCAATGGCTTCCTTTTGTTCTCAGGATCAAACCTTTGCCATTATCATGGCATTCAAGGCCTTGCCTGACTTTGCCATATGACAAGAGGAGAGATGAAGAGTGTTGTGGGAACTCTGAGGATAATTGGTTTGCAAGCCAAATATAGGGGCATGGGGGCAGGCTCCATTTCCAGAGCTTCTGTTCACTTATGGGGTATGCTCTGTCAGTTCCCATATATCTGGGTCCTGATGGGCTAAAGGCTCAAATATGTATCAATTTTGTCTGGTAGCTTTTGGTTTCTATTTCTTTTTAAATTTGAGGAGTAGTAGGCTTTTGAATTTTTAATTTTGTATTGTAAGCACTTTAAACAAAACACTACTATGCCCCATGAAATAAAGAACTTTTGTACATCAACAAAGTTCACAATTGCAGAATAAAGGTCAATACTCTGGGGTTTGGGGCTTCTTTTTCCTTCTCTGCACAAAACTGGTCAAAACCTTGAGTGTGAGGTCAGCCATGGAGGAGGGGACTCAGTGGGAAGCTAGGTTGATAGACAGGAGACCTTACTTTCCTAATGCTCCCTCTTCGTGCAGCAGTGTGTGTGTGTGTGTGTGTGTGTGTGTGTGTGTGTGTGTGTGTGTGTCCATCCAGTAAGGGCCCTATAGGCATTAGGGCCTAAGGCTAAGGGAGGGTAGCAGAGACTCATGGGAGGCAGCAAAAGCCTTGAGCACTGGTTGAGTCCCTTTGGTTTTCTGGAGATAAAGGGTAACCCCAAGTTGGACTAGGGGACCTTCATCCTTGCTTTCCTCTGCCAGTTCCCAAGTGTTACTGGTGGCAGGGGTAAAACATCAGGGAAGGATAAGGTTTTGCTGTTGTGTTATTTGTCTTGCTTTACTTTGACAGAGGGTTTTTCCATATAGCCCCAGCTGGCTTTGATATTGTGGCAATTCTCCTGCCCCAGTCTCCTGAATGCTGGAATTGAAGGGATGAGGCACCACAGCCACCAGAAAAGAGCAATTTAAACATGGACAGTAGTGCTCCTCTGGTGGGCATCTTCAGCAGTGTCAAGGTCCTGGTTGGTAGATGCTACCTACTAAGGCTGCTTTTGGCCATGGGTGGAGGAGGCTCCCTTGAAAAAGTGGCTGGTATATAGAATCGAGAGTGGATATTTTGTGAGGAGGGTTTTGCAGCTGTTTATTTGGGTAGCATTAGAACTTCAAAGTTCTGGCCAGCTGCTGAAGCCTAGGGCCTCCAAGACATCCTGGTTTCTCTGTTCACATGTTTTCCTCCAGGTCTGGTATGTAACAACAGGAGCAGAAAGCTGGGGAATGGTTGAACATCAGGCTGACCCCCAGAAAGTCATTGGGGTCACTAGCAGTGTTCTCAGTACACTCAGGACAACTGCTGTGCTCCTAGGATGGCCTGCTAGCTCTTGTGGATAATGACATACTTTTCTGCCTTGTGAAAAAGTTTGGTATTTTAGGAGCAGAGCTAGAAGGGCTAAATGCTTTTCCCAGTTGGTGGCAATATTTGAAGCATGAGAAGTTCAGGGAAGAGCTAGGTGTAAAGGGTGAGGAGAAGGGAGTAGTGTGTTGACAAATACTTGGTCAGGCATTGGTCCCAGAATTCAGATGCATTGGTAATAAGGAGGTTGTGTACAGCAGACAGGGCAAGGATCATGGCTTGTATGCATTGAACTTCCTGTATGTAAATCAGTTTCATGTTCAGCTGGAATTCAGTAGGGTTGCAATGATCTGACTGAGTTGCTTACCCAGTTCCTGGTAGGCATCTCTTTCCAACTGAAAGATTCACCAGGCCTCTCAGACTCACATTAACCTCACTTATAAGACACTGAGAGACACACTAGGCCCAGACACATCATCTTACAAAGGGAGAATTATCTTATAGCCTTATTCAGGCATTTTGATTGACAAGGGTTTTTGTTTATCTCGTGTCATTAGATATATTATGACATCATTCTTTTCTCTTGGTTCTTGCACCTGCATCTAGGCAGGTTATCTTTTATGTTTATCTTGTGTTGTACAGAAGCATACATTTTAGGTCCTGCCTCATCAGTTGCCATTCCCTCCACTGTGATAGCTCAGTTTAATCCAGTCTGTAGTGAGAATCTTAATTAGTTTTAATAATAAAAACCCAGAGTCAGATATTGGGGTAAATGCTGAAAGATCAGAAAAGTAAAGGAGCAGCCAAAGTCCTCTCTTATCTCCATAACTCCTCAGAATGAAGAGGGGCTGAGCTCCTGTCTCTGCCTGCCTAATATTCCTCTTTCCACTTAGCCATGCTGAGGGATGACTTTCTGTACTTGTGAATATATGTTGTTCCCATTGGTTAATGAATAAGCTGCTTTGGCCTATGTCAAGGCAGCTTAGAGGCAGGCGGGAAATCCAAGGAGAGAGATAGGAAAGAGAAAGGCAGAGTCTGGAGAGACATCATCCACTCCAAAAAGGAACAACAAGATGCCAGCAGATCAGTAAAGCCACAGAACACATGGCAAAGCATAGATTAATATAAATGGACTGAATTAAGTTGTAAGAGTTAGCTAGCAAGAAGCCTGCCATAGGCCATACAGTTTGTAATTAATATAGGCCTCTGTGTGTTTACTTGGGTCTGAGTGGCTGCAGGACCATTTATGAGAGGGATTTGTCTGGACTGTGGGGGGTGGGTGGGCAGGACCAGAGAAAACATGGCTACACAGCCATATCATTTCCTGTCTATTTGTACAGACCTCCAGACCTTTATGGTTAACTAATGGCTAGCTCTACCCTCTAATCTTCAGGAAAGCTTTGTTAGAGCACAAACAAAATATCACCTAATTTCCCCCTTTTTATCTATTACCTGTAACTTATGTGCCACTACAGTTAAGATATAGGATATTTAGTGTCATATCCAAAATTCATTTGTGCTCTTTTACTATGACTATCCACTGAATATCAAGTTTTCTTGCTACAGGAATACATGACCAGCAAGGGTATAACAATCTAGGGGTCTAGGGGAGAAAACATTCCTGTGATCCCAGCAATCAGAAGGCAGAGATAGGAGGATCATGAGTTCAAGGCCAGACTGGGATACAGAGAAAAAGAAGGCATTCTCACTCACTCATTTCCACTCCTTGATTATTGAGGTCATACATAAGGCCATTATAAGAAATAAAGACCAATCAGCTATTTCTACTCTTCAGCTCCAGTTATAGCCCTGCTTTGTCCATGGGAAGGTCTACTCCTAACACTTTGTGTGTTTGTGTTTCTCAGTCCCATATTTAGTGCAATGCATAGAATAGAAGCAGAGAAAGGGGGAAGAGAAAGAGGGGAGGAAGGGAGAGAGGGGAGAGGGATAGAGGGAAGGGAGGGAGGGGAAGAGAGAGAGAGAGACAGAGAGAGAGAGAGAGAGAGAGAGAGAGAGAGAGAGGAGATTCATGTATGTGTATATGTGTTGTGTTGTTTCTGGCCAGGAACACTGGGAATGGG